GAGGTAAGGAGGAGGTGTGTTGCCAGGACCGAAGGTAAGTATCGGAACGGCAGCGGTAGGTTATGACTCCGGAGGTGAAGAGGGTGGAGGTCCGGAAGTCGGGTCGGGGTCAGGTATGCACGGATATGACACTCACCAATATTGGCACTTGATCCACTTTATATTGGCACCTAGGTTGTCAGTCCCATTCAGTTGTCTTTCCCACACTGATAACCCTCACCACTCATTTGTTTACTTATTCATTCTTCACCTGGGTTCTTGTCCTTGATTCAATTTAACAATCCCCACTCACTTCTGCACTGGACTGACTGGCCCTTCCCATGATTTCTCTCCCTTATAAATACTTTCAGGGACCTTACTCTGAAATCAACTAGAGCAACCCCCCCCCCCTGTCTGGACAGAGTCTCAACTTCTGCAAAAAGGGGGCTCCCCCCCCCTCTGAGTCTGTCCCCACTGAGTTTTGCCCTACAGTTGAAACTGTGGTAGTGTCATTGTCAGGGCACACTGCTCCGCTCCATGCCACACCCTCCCGTTGCTCCTCTTTCCCTTTCTTCTTTCCTTTCTTCCTTGATACAGACGACCTCTCCTCTTACCCATGTAGCACAGACATGTACAATGCCAAGTACTCCGTGTGGGTACTGCACCACCAGATACGCTGTGCATCCTCATTTGTACTTCTCTCCTCTGACACTCAGGATCGCCCATGGAGCCATCCACGATAGCCTGGCTCCACCCAGGCTGACGTGGCACCCCTACATGACCCGTTCCCACCTGTATATAAACCGAGCCGAAGCAGAACCGAAGAAGTAGCCTTCTTCTCACTACTGCTTCAGGCAAGTATCTTACTCTAGCTTAGTTTAGTTTAGTTTAGCCTTTCATCCTAATAACAATCACTACTGCTTCAGCTTCAGCATAAGGAGCCAGACAGGGATGCAAGCCCAAGTGAGGGCCTCTCGCCATACATTCCTGTTACTCTGCTGCCACTTGGGCCGCTAGTGCTGGGGGCTACACCGTTACCCCCACCTCTCCTGTACCGTCCCTGCAGTCATGAACCCACCCAGGGATAGGTCCGATTGCTACCCAGGCAGGTGTTGTCTGGTGGAGCTTGGTGTTCCGGGTCGTCTGACAGTGGGTCGGAGACAGACTGGAGGTGGGGTGGAGCTCCAAGGGTGATGGGGTGTTGAAGGGGCTTGGCTTCAGCGACTCAGAATGGAGTGCTGTGCCCATTACGTTCTTGTTGTCCCCAATTTGTCAGGGGAGCTGGCAATGGAGGAACCGAGGCTGCCAGCAGAAGGGGGCTGGAAGCCCCCCCTCACTACTTAACGATGGAGGTGTTAGCGAGGGTTGATCGTTCGTCATGCAATTCGTTTGGGTTTTATACCAAGGTGCCTTTAGATGCACCTGTTACTCACTTCTCAGTTCAGGGTGGAGCAGCAGACAAGTGGAATGCGATAGACGTTCTGGAGAGGGTTTGGGTTCAAGGGCTTAAGAATTTATATATTATAACTGGGGGGAACTATTTACTGGAGGGTATGCATGTACAGAAACAATTGGATCCGAAAGTAAACAAAGGTTACCAAGGGGAAGGAGAAGTAAATAGAAAAGAATCCACAGGACAAATAAGGAATAGGCGAAAAGCCTGAATTACGTCTGAGGTTTGTGGATTAGAAGCCAACTGAATGGTAAGGCCTGGGCCCATCTATGAATGAGCAGGGGACTACAAGGAAGACGTCCAGAAAGGTCTGGAGCCTGGAAGTTGTAGTCCAGAAGATTGGGGTTGTAGAAAATATCAAATGATAAAACAATAAAGAATAACATGACCAGAGGTAAGGTAGGAGTAGGGAGGTACCAGAGGTAATACCGGAGGTGTGGAGACTGGAAGTAAGAAGGAGGGTGGATAGGCAAGTTGAGGTTTTGTCATATCTGTACATACCCGATCCCAATCCAATTTCCAGACCCTCCTCTCCACCACCTCCAGATTCCCACCTCACCTCCTCCTCTCACTCCTCCTCTCACCCCTTACCTTTGTCCACTCCGATACCCACCTTTGGACATGACCACACTCCTCTCCTCCCACTCCTCTCCCCACTCCTCTCATCACTCTCCTCCCTCTGACCCTCTTCTGCCAACCTCTGCCAAAGTAATGACCTTCTGCCACAGTCCTGTACTCGGACACTGCTTGTACCTTCACTCTGAGATCCCGTCATGGTTCCGACCTCGGACTTTGACTCCACCTTGGCTTAAGTCCATTGCATTGGTGACCTCATTCTACGTAAACACCATTGCCAACATTTCTTGGACTCCAACCCTGCCTCCACAACCTCCATAAGCTCCACAACCTCTGAGCTCCACGGACCATACTTGGCACTTTTGCTGCTTGTAATGTATCTTTCACACTTTCCCCTCATCCATATTTGGACTACTGCTTCCTTCCATTTAGCCAGTTAGTCACCAACCCCACTTCACCTCATCCTCCTGCCCCTCTGGGCTTTGCCCTCCCTACCTCCTTTCGGTTATACTGCAGAGTCTAACCCATGACCTTTGGTACCGCTCCATTTCCGTCATCCCCTTGTCTCCATTTGGACACCTTTGTTCCGATTCAGACCCCCTTTGATTTCCTTGTGCTTTCATCTCTCCACTATATACAGGCGCTTGTACATACTCGTTTTAGACCTTCAGTCTAAAATCGACTAGAAATGCCCCCTAGAGACTTCCTGCTCACTGCTTCTGAAATTAAGGACCAAATGGACAAACAGCAATGGCACAGCGCTGTCAGGGCATGCTGCACTGCACCCTCCCACTGCTCCTCTTTCCTTTTCCTCCCCCTTTCCCTTTCTTCTCTCTTTCTCTCTTTCTCTCTTTCTTTCTTTCTTTCTTTCTGTATACGGACGAACTCTCCTCTTACCTGTGTAGCACAGACATGTCCAATGCCGAGTACTCCATGTGGGTACCATGCTGCCAGATATGCCACACACCCTCACTTGTACTTCTCTCCTCTAACACTTGGGATTGCCTGCAGAGCCACCTGCGATAGCCCAGCTCTGCCCAGGCTGATGTGGCACCCCCATGTGACCCATTCCTGCCTGTATATAAACCAAGCTGAAGCAGAACTGAAGAAGTAGCCTGCTTCTCATTACTGCTTCAGGCAAGTACCTTAGTCTAGCTTAGTTTAGTTTAGCCTTTCATTCTAATAACAACCATTACTGCTTCAGCCTAAGAAGCCAGACAGGGATGCAAGCCTGAGTGAGGGCCACTCGCCATACATTCCCATTACTCCGCCACCACCCAGGCCGCTACCCCTGCCTCTCCTGTACTGTCCCTGACAAGTGCTCCCCTTGAGTTGCTGAGGCCAAGGTCCCTCCTTGCTAAGTCTCTGGTTCCCCTCCAGAATCGTCCACCCTTGCCTAGTTCTAACAGGTTTACCAACAACAAGCAGGTCCGTATCCTTTGAACAAGGGGTCCGAGGAGGTCCAGAGGTGATGCAGATGTAGATGGGAGGCAGAGCGGGAGAGAGTTGAAGGAGGAGATAGTCCTAGGGTCGTTGGCATCGACCAGAGGCTGCAGAGAGAGATTGGGAGTGTCACAAATGTGTTCCTGGGGACAGGTCCGATCGGTGCCCAGGCGATGCTGTCTGGTGGAGCTCGGTGTTCCAGGTCATCTGATGGTGGGTCGGAGACAGACCAGAGGTGGGGTGGAGCTCTGAGGGTGACAGGGTGTTGAAGGGACTCAGCTTCAGCGACTTGGAACAGAGCGCATGCCCGTTACGTTCTTGTTGTCCCCAATTTGTCAGGGGAGCTGGTGACAGAGGAACTGAAGCCACCAGCAGGAAGGGGGCTGGAGGCCCCCTCTCACTACTTAATGATGGAGGTGTTAGTGAGGGTCAATCATTTGTCACACAATTCTTTTTGGGTTTTATACCAAGGTGCCTTTAGACATGCCTGTACTCAGCTCTTGGTTCAAGGTATTTACTGGAGGGGTAAACGCATACATATAGCAGAACAATTTGGATCCGAAGGTAAACAAAGGTTACCAAAGGGAAGGGAAGTAAATAGAAAAGAATCCACAGGACAAATTAGGATTGGGCGAAAAGCCCGAATTACATCTCAGGTTTGTGGAGTGGGAGTCTTAAAAGCCAACTGGATGGCAAGGCCTAGAACCATCTAAGAATAAGCAGGGGACCACAGAGAAAGATGTCTGGAAAAATCTGGGCCTGAAAGTTGTAGTCCAGAAGATTAGGGTAGTAGAAAATATCAAATGATAAAACAATAAAGATTATCAAGACCAGAGGTCAGGTAGGAAGGAGGTACCGGAGGTGTGGAGACCGGAAGTAAGAAGGAGGATGGATAGCCAAGTTGAGGTTTACCAACAACAAGCAGGTCCATCTCCTTTGAACAAGGGGTCCGAGGAGGTGGAGGTGTGGTAGCAGAGGTCCAGAGGTGATGCGGACGTAGATGGGAGGCAGAGCGGGAGAGAGTCGAAGGAGGAAGTAGTCCTAGGGCCATTGGCATTGACCAGAGGTAGCAGAGAGAGATTGGGAGGGCTGGTGGAAGTTATAGGAGTCATATAGGGATAGGGCAGAGGGAGGTGGAAGATCCAGGATATGACAGGGAGGGCTGGTGGAGGTCATAGGAGTTGTATAGGAATAGGGCAGAAGGAGGTGGAAGATCCGGGATATGACAGGTAGGCCATACTTGTGATAACCCATAACCTGCCATTACCCATAGGAACTTCTAGGAACTGGCATGGTTCCTATTGGAAATCGGATGTCAACCCATAAACCTGCTGTCCCCCATAATCCATAATGTGAGGGGGGAATTTTATATTGAGATTTGATCCATAACCCATAGTACGTATGAGCAACAATGACAGGTGAATGCATAGATATTGAAACTTTATTAACTGTTAATATTATAATAATGTGAGGATGATGGGGATTGGGACAGAAAATACTGTACATAATAAACATAGAAATTGCTCTGTGTGCTGTCCAACTGTGCACCATGCCAATCACTTTGTCCTCTCTCAAGATTGGCCTTGCTGCTCTAAAAAACGATGCTCAGCCTCTCATTGATGAGCTAAAAACTAAACTTACTTCTGGAATATCGATCACTGATGAAGAGGAGAAATGGCGGGATCATGAAGCAAACTTCACAGATGAAACATTGCTTCTTGCTGAGCTCCAACATGCAATGGACTTTCAGAGTGCCCTTGACTCCCTCTCAAACAACCAGAGAGCAATTGCCCAGTGCATGCAAGCTGCAAGTGGTGTTGAAAGTCAAAACTTGGGGATGGTTGCAAATGTTGTGCGATGTGAATCCAACCCAAACTTAAAGCGTGAGTGCTGTCATGGCTGGAGAGATTTGCACTCAAAATACTCCCAGGCTCTCAAAGAGTTGTTCCAGACCCAGATGAAGAACCATCAGCAAAGAAGCAGCTGTCATATCCATACAACTCCAGACCTCCATGCCTGATTCTGGACCTCCATCTCCTCCAGAGCTCCACATCCTCCACCACCTCCTCCCCCTGTTGGTTGTTGCAAGCCCACTCTACCTCTGGCTCCAACACAATGTCCAACACTACCTCCAGTCTGACTCTGGTTTACTCCGGGTCCAATCCCAACCTCGTACCTTCCAGACCAGAGCTTGTGATGCTCCACACCTCCGGCTCCAGACTCCTGTACCAGAACCCCATCGCACCTCTACCTCCAGAACTCCAGTCACATCTCTATCCCCAGACTTTGACCTCCTCCTCTGTCTTATCTCCTTGTATTCTTTATTGCATTTCATTTATTATGTCTAGCCAATATTCCGGACTTTGACTTCCGACTCTGGACCTCTGGAACTTACTCCAGACCCTGCAGTCTCTACTGTATGGTGTCATTTAATCCTCTTGTTGCTTCTTCCTTATTTAGATGGCTGCTTCTTTCCATATTAGTCAGCTGTCATTCCCCACAACCCACTCCACTCCTTCCCCTCTTGGCCCTGCCCTTTTGGGAAGCACCATAGAGTTCCAACCCTTGACCCTTGGGGTTGTTCCCTCATCCAGTCCCCCTTTGTCTCCTTCCAGTTCCCTTTGTTCCCTTTGGTTCTCTGACTCCACTCCTGTATTATTATATATACACACTGTACTTAGTTTCCTGTACCCCTAGCCTGAAATCGACGACTAGAGAACCAGAATCAACTGGATTGTCCCCCCAAGAGACTCCCCCTGCTAATCTGAAATTAAGGACCACCTTAGACAACAAAGCAATGGCACAGCACTCCACTTGAGTCACTGAGGCCAAGGTCCCTCCTTACTGAGTCCCTTCTCCGCTTCCAGACAATTATGCATGCTCTATAACAGCAGCCAGTCTTTACTCATAAAGAAATTGCCACACTGCAATGGTGCATTGAGATCATAGATTGGTATCACAAGAATGGGAAAAACCAACAAAGACTGCAAAGCATTTTGAGACCATCTACCCTAATCTCAAGATAAAACAGCCTCTCATCTCTATTTGGGTGAAGAGTGAGACAAAACTTTGTGAGGAATTTTGGAAATTGGAAATTGCTGGGAAGTTCAAGCGCATCCAACAGACAACATTCCCAATGGTCACTGACATGTTGGAGCTATGGATTATTGCTGCTGAAGAGAAAGGGGTGGTACTCACTGGAGACATACTCTGGGCCAAATTGAAGCAATTTTCTGATTGTGCTGGCATTCCACCACATGACCAGCTTAAGATGAGCATGGGTGGCTTGAATCCATTAAAAATCGACTTGGCCTCTGCCTGCATGTATGCCATGGTGAGGCAGGTTCAGCCAGCCCAGAAGATGTCACTGCAGAATGGGCACATCTACAGGGGCTCTTGTCCGAGTATTCCCTTGCAACATTTTTAACGGTGATGAAACAGGACTTTACTATTTGTGAGTGCAAATCCCCCCCTCCCCAACAGTCACCCAATAGTTCTCCTTAGTATTCCACCTTAGACAGTGGGATGCCAAACTTCACACTCAAGGATGGCACATTCTCTATCTGCATGATAACTTTTCTGCCCACACTGTGCAAGACAACTTGACCAACATCTGATGCAAATTTTTTGCACCAAATATGATGGCCCATGTGCAGCCCATGGATGCTGGAGTAATTCGCTGTTTCAAAGCACACTATCGGAGTCAATTCATTAGTTGTGCAATCAATCGCTATGATTCTGGAGTCTCACCAGGAAAAATTTATAACATTGACCAGCTTGAGGCAATGCGTTTGGCACAGACAGCTTGGATGGAAGTCATGCCAGACACCATCTGCCACTGCTGGGCCAAGGCTGGAATCCTGCCCTTGTGCACACAAGTGCAGAAAATGGCAATACCTTTGTCAATGCTTGTCACTTCAGAGGACCCATGACCATCAGGCAGAGTGGAAGGAAAGTCACAGTGGGACAAGGACATACTGATGCTGGAATCAATGGACCCAATCGCTATCACCAATGCTCACATAGAGGAAGGCCTGAACAGTCTCCAGTCAGTTGGAATCCTCAGCAAGAGAAACAGAATGAGCATGGCCAAGCTGGTAGACAATCCATCAGAGATCATTCATGCTGCAGATGTCTCTGATGACGATATTTTCAATGCCATGTTCAAGGCATGGGAGAACAGGGAAAAGGACAACATCGCAGAAGGAGCCCATGATGCCAACAACTCTGATGATGACATGCCTGCTGTCTCGCATAAGGATGCCATTCAGGCAGCACTCCTGCTGAAGACTTACACCAAACAAGTGAATTCTTCCTTTGCATGGAAGATGGAGTCCATGTTGGCTCAGTTTGGATGCAAGACCCACTATGAAGCCCAATCATTGCTCCACAGTAGCACACTTGATTCTTACTTCAAAAAGCTTGAATAGAGTGATAGAGAGGTGACATTGATAGACATGGTGGTAGAGGCAATTGATGATAAAGACTTATGTAAACATAGCATGTGCCCTCGAGAAATTTGAGGTAGCTCATACCCATCATTACCCATACCTAAATCCAGGAACACAAGGTATGGGTTATCATGGTTTCAACTGTATCTCCAACAGGCCTGCTCCATCCACAAGTTTGCTTGAAAGTCCCTGCTCCACCCATAAGGGATCTCCCCCAGATGTCAAGCTCAGCACAGCACTCCCCTTGAGTTGCTGAGGCTGCAATTCCATTCTGCCAACACTAAACAGTGGTGCCAGACACACCACTTGCTTCCACCCATACCTCTGCACATACACACTCTGACAGATGGTCTTCATGACTTTCTTGTGTGATGCTTTCATATCACTTTCAACTTAAGGGTAACATGTAATTAACCCATTATGCCCCCAATTGTCATATCCCAGAATCCTGACCCTGCACTTCCACACCTCACCACAACACTCCTTACAACCTCACCATCTCCTACCCCATTTTCCCTACCTTCCCACTCCACTTCCACTCCCACCTTCTCTGCTCTGGGCTGGACCTCAGCACAGACACCCTCAGCCATCTCCACCCTGGATGCTCAGACCCAAGTTGGAACCTTCAGAATCCCTGGACTGCTCCAACCTCCCAATGGATTCCCAACATTTTATTATATACCTTTAAATCCTTCTTCTACCCATTTCATTTATTGGAGTCACTCAATATTTCTTGGATGTGTAACTCTGGCTTCAGAGTGATCCACATTCCTCAGTGACTCTACCCTTCACCATCTTGATTAGTCATCTCATACTTCTCTCATGACTGACATCTTCTTTCCATTAAGTTGGCTAACTTCCTTTTACCCACTGCCTTTCGGTATCATTTGGACCTTGACTAAAGTCCTCTCCTCTGCTTTAATATATATATACCTGTAGGTTAGAATTCATTGTGCCTTAGTTCTAATCTCAACTAAACCTCACCCCCAAACTCCCCTATGAGTGATTTGCATCCCCCTCTTACAAGATACCTCAGTCATCTGAAATTAAGATGTAATGGAGGCACAGCGCTCCCCTCTGAGTCACCAAGGCCACATCCTTCTAAGACTCTTGTACTAGCTGGCAGACTCGGGTTTCCTGGAGAAGCTCCAGTCCACTACCTGGTCTCCCAGAACCCCCTAGTTGAGCCCTGTCTGCACCTGAATCGGTGTGTTTGACATTGTTGTACCAAGAATCCTAATTTATGATCAAACAATGATTCTTGGGGACACTCATAGTGATTAATGAAGGTCCATGAGGGTCCAGGATCCTTTATGAAGGCTCATGACACTCCATGACACTCATAGACAGGCATGTAACCTGTCATATCCATCCATGGCCATCACCCTCCACTACCTCTGGTCCTTCTGGATTACCTCCACTCCTTCATCACTAACCTCAGAGCCTCCATATTCTGCAATCCCCTCCAACACCCCTGATGGTCACCACCCCCTCAATTCAATATATACCTATGCCTCCCTAAGTACGGAGCCCCGAAGGCCTCTGGACAGCTCCAATGTCTGTGAGTGCACCACCACCTCCATGGGGCAATTCACTTGCCTGCCCTGCAAGTCTACCTTCGGGCCGATCCCTCCTTTCTGTTCCTGGGTTATAGCCTGTCATCCCGCTAACCCTGTAACCCAACTCATTGGTAATATTCAGTTGGTTAACCTATAAACCTGTTAGCTCTGCTCTGCTCGGTCCCACCATTCATGGGCCCACCCTGTATGTAACTATATATACATAGATAGGTTACACCCAAGTGATAAAATCGACTAGAGTTCTCCCTCTTCTAGAATCCCTTTCCAGTCAGTAAGTTAGGGCACAGACATGTAACTAGGCACAGTGCTCCTGGAATAAGTTGCTGAGGCCAAAGCCCTCTGCTTTGGGGATGTCATCCTTCATCCCAGATCCGGTCCCTGACAGCTCGGACGATTGTGAGCATCTCCTTGTCATACACCTCGTAGTTGCATTCCATATCCATAAAGCTTTTAGACATGAATGCCACCAGGTGGAACTCCCCATCTGACTGGAGCTGGGAGAGGACTGCACCGGTTGTGAAGTTGGAGGCATTGCATTTGAGTCTGAAGTGGCTGGAATCGGTGGGGAAGGAGAGGATGGGGGCAGTGGTGATGGCCTCCTTAAGGGCATGGAAGGCATGGTCCTTGTCCGGGCCCCAGCTCCAGACCTTGGTCTTTTGGGTCAGCATGTGGAGTGGGCATGCCTTCTCTGAGAAGTCCTTGATGAACTGGTGGTAGAAATTCACGAACCCTAGGAAGGACTGCACTTCCTTCACCTTGGTCAGGGCTGGCCAGTCAAGGACTCCCTGGATCTTCACGGGGTCCATTGCAATGCTTCCCTCAGAGATGACGAGTCCGAGGTACTCGATCTGTGTCCGCTCGAACTTGCACTTCTCCAGCTTCAGGAAAAGCTTCCTCTGCTGCAATGTCTCCAGGACCTCCCCAGATGACCCTCCAGTGTTCCTCTAGGGTAGCAGTGAAAATGAGGATGTCATCCATGTAGCAGATGACAACCTCTCAGTCAATGAAATCCGGGAGGATGTCATTCATCATGGTTTGGGGTTGCAGGAGAGTTGCACAGCCCAAAGAACACCACCATGGGCTCAAACAACCCCCAGTTGATTGCAAATGTGGCCTTCCACTCGTCACCATCCTGGTGTCAGGGACAGTGCAGGAGAGGTAGGGGTGGCAGCGTAGTGCCCGGTGCTAGCAGCTCAGGTGGTAGCTGTCAGAAACAGTATTTGAAGTATTCGCGGGAAGCGGAGTGGAGCACGGCAGCGTGAGTGGAGCACGGCAGCATGAGTGGACACTTAGCTAAGGTGCTACTCCGTTGCAAGGCATCATGAGGGTTGGGACT